CACTGAAGCCAAGTCATCCAGCGGCAATTTAGTCAGCATCTACAAGACAATGGAGATTCTGGCTCCTGGAATATGGAGCAGAGGTTTGGACCTTGAGAAACTTTATAATCAATAATTTTTGGTCCCTGACACTAGAGATAAAGCTAGCTCTCTAGCTAGCTGTCTTTGTTTTTTTGTTTTGTTTTGTTTTGTTTTTTTGTTTTTACACAGAATTTCTCTGTGTAACCCCAGCTGTCCTGGAACTCACTCTGTAGATCAGGCTGGCCTCGAACTCATATCCGCCTGCCTCTGTTTCTGCCTCCGAAGTGCTAGGATTTAAGCTATGCAGTGGACCAGGTCTAGCTAGCTGTCTTTAAAGAGTAGAGTGCTTGCCCTCCCTGTACAAGACCTGAGCTCTGAGCCCAGGTCAAAGACAGATGCCAGTTTGCTGGTGTGAGTCCAAAGGCCAGACCAGGCTACAGAATGAGAATCTGTTTCTAAAGTTTAAAAACTTCAAAAACCTGTACTCCACAAAATTGGAAAATTTAAAGGAAATGGACAATTTCCTGGATACTATCACATACCAAAATTAAATCAAGACCAGATAAACAATTTAAATAGACTATAGCCCCCAAGGAAATAGAGTCAACAAAAGTCTTCGAACTAAAACAAAGCCCAGGACCAGATGATTTTAGTGTAGAATTCTACCAGAATTTCAAAGAAGAGCTAATGGCAATACTCCTCAAATTGTTCCACAAAATAGAAACAAAAGAAACATTGTCCAACTCTTTTTACCAGGCTACTGTTACCCTGATACCCAACCCACACAAAGACACAACTAAGAAAGAGAATTATAGACCAGTCTCCCTCATGAACATTGATGCAAAAATAATAAAATACTGGCAAACCAAATCCAAGAACACATCAGAAAAATCATCCACCATGATCAAGTAGACTTCATCCCAGAGATGCAGAGATGGTTCAACATATAAAAATCTATTAATGTAATCTACCATATAAACAAATTGAAAGAAAAGAACCCACATGATCATCTCATTAGATGCTGAAAAAGCCTTTGACAAAATCCAGCATTCCTTCATGATAAAGTTCTTGGAGTGATCAGGGATATAAGGAACATTCTTAAACATAATAAAGGCAATATACAGCAAACCAACAGCCAATATCAATCTAAATGGAGAGAACCTCAAAATGATCCCCCTGAAATCGGGAACAAGACAAGGCTGTCCACTCTCTCCATATCTATTCAATATAGTACTTGAAGTCTTACCTAAAGGGATAAGAGAACAAAAGGAGATCAAAGAGATATAAATTGGAAAAGAAGTTAAACTTTTGCTATTTGCTGATGATATGGCTGTATATATAAGTGGCCCCAAAAATTCTATCAGGGAACTCCTACAGCTGATAAACACCTTCAGTAATGTAGCAGGATACAAGATTAACCCCCCCCCAAAAAAAAAAAAAACAGGAGCCCTTCTATATACAGATGGTAAATGGCTGAGAAAGAAATCAGAGAAACATCACCCTTCACAATAGCCATAAACAACATAAACTATCATGGGGTTAAACAAGTGAAAGACCTGAATGACAAGAACTTTAAGTCTTTGAAGAAAGAATTGAAGAAGATGGCAGGAAATGGAAAGATCTCCCATACGCTTGGATAGGTAGGATCAACATAGTAAAAATGACAATCTTAACCAAAAGCAATCTACAGATTCAGTGCGTTACCCATCAAAAATCCAAGCACAATTCTTCACAGACCTTGAAAGAACAAAACTCAACTTCGTATGGAAAAACACAAAACTCAAGATAGCCAAAACAATCCTTATACCATAAAGGAACATTTGGAGGCATCACCATACCTGACTTCAAATTCTACTATAGAGCTATAGTAGTATACTGAAAACAGCTTGGTATTGGCTTAAAAACAGACAGGTGGACCAATGGATTCAAATTGAAGACTCTGATATTAATCCACACACCTGTGTGTACCTGAATTTTGACAAGCTAAAAGTTTACAATGTAAAAAAGAAAGCATATTCAACAAATGGTGCTGACATAACTGGTTGTCCACATGTAGAAGAATGCAAGTAGATCCATATCTGTCCCCATGCACAAAACTCGAGTCTAAATGGATCAAAGACCTCAACACAAATCCAGCCACACTGAACATCATAAAAGAGAAAGTGGGAAGTACCCTTGAATGCATGGGCACAGAAAGCACTTCCTAAATATAACACCAGTAGCATAGACACTGAGAGCAACAATTAATAAATGGGACCTCCTGAAACTGAGAAGTTGCTGAAAGGACATGGTCAACAAGACAAAACAACAGCCTACAAAATAGGAAAAGATCTGTACCAACCCCACATCTGACAAAACATACAAAGAACTTAAGAAACTAGACATCAAAAGATCAAATAATCCAATTTAAAAATGGGGTACAGATCTAAATAGTGAATTATCAACAGAGGAATCTCAAATGGCCAAAAGACATTCAAGGAATTGCTCAATATCCTTAGCCATCAGGGAAATGCAAATCAAAGCAACTCTGAGATACCATTTTATACCTGTCAGAATGGCTAAAATAAAAAACACTGATGACAGCTTATGCTGGAGAGGATGTGGAGCAAGGGGAACACTCCCCCACTGCTGGTGGGAGTGCAAACTTGTACAGCCACTTTGGAAGTCAGTATGTCAGGCCAGGGAGATGGTTCAGCAGTTAAGAGGACTGGCTGTTCTTCCAGAGAACCTAGGTTCAATCCCCAGCACCCACATGACATCTCACAACAGTCTGTAACTCCAGTTTCAAGGGATCTCACACCCTCATACAGAAACATGTGCAGGCAAAAACACTAATGGACATGAAATTTGTGTGTGTGTGTGTGTGTGTGTGTGTGTGTGTGGTGTGTGTGTGTTGTGTGTGTGTGTGTATGTGTTTGTGTGTGTGTTTTGAGATAGGGTTTTTCTGTGGCTTTAGAGACTATCCTGGAACTAGCTCTTGTAGACCAGGCTGGCCTCAAACTCACAGAGATCTGCCTGCCTCTGCCTCTGCCTCCCGAGTGCTGGATTAAAGGCGTGTGCCACCACTGCCTGGCTATAAAAATACAATTTTTTAAAGAAAGGAAATCAGTATGCAGTGTGGCAGTTTCTCAGAAAATTGGAAATCAATCTACCTTGAGACCCAGCAACACTACTCTTGGGCATATGCCTAAAGGATGCACATTCACACCACAAGGACATTTGCTCAATTATGTTCATAGCAGCATTATTTGTAACAGCCAGAACCTGGAAACAACCTAGATGCCCCTCAACTGAAGAATGAGTAAAGAAAATGTGATACATTTACACAGTGCAGTACTACTTATGGATCAAAAACAATGGCATCTTGAAATTTGCAGGCAAATGGAACTAGAAAAGAAAAAACATCCTGAATGAGGTAACCCAGACCCAGAAAGACTAACATGGTATGTATTCACTCATAAGTGGATATTAGACATAAAGCAAAGGACAACCAGCCCACAGTCTACAGCCCCAGAGAAGCTAGGTAACAAGGAAGACTGCAAGAGACATACATGGACCCTCTGGGGAAGAGGAAATAAACAAAATCTCCTGAGTACATCAGAAGCATGTGGGGAGGGGAAGGAGGACATGCAACAGGATGGTCGAGTTGGAGGAAGGACAGAGAGGGAGAGCAAGGAAAGAGATATCTTGATAGAGGGAGCCATTATGGGGATATCAAGAAACCTGGCACTAGGGAAATTCCCAGGAATCCACAAGGATGACCCCAGCTAAGAATTTAAGCAATAGTGGAGAGGGTGCCTAAACTAGCCTTCCCCTATAATCAGATTGATTACCTTAATTGTCATCATAGAACCTTCATCCAGTAGCTGATTGAAGCAGAAGCAGAGATCCACAGTAAGCACCGGGCCAAGCTCCTGAAATCCAGTTGCAGAGAGGGAGAAGTGATAATAAGCAAAGGGGTCAAGACCATGATGGGGAAACCCACAGAAACAGCTGACTGAAGCTAGTGGGAGCTCACTGACTCTGGACTGACAGCTGGGGAACCAGCATAGGACTGTACTAGGCCCTCTAATGTGGGTGACTTGGGCAGTTTATTGGGGCCACTAGCAGTGGGGCCAGGATTTATCCCTAGTGCATGAACTGACATTTTGGAGCCCATTCCCTATTGTGGGATACCTTGCTCAGCCTAGATACAGCGCAGAGGGCCTTGATACTGCCTCAATATGATGTGACAGACTTATGGTCTCACCCTCTGTGGAGTGGATGGGGGTGAGATGGGGGAAACGGGAGGGAACTGGGATTGGTATGTAAAATAAAACGATTGTTTAAAAAAATATATTCAAATAAACTTTTTACTGCCCCCCCCAAAAAAAGGGGGTCACGTGGGGGTGAGGGGGCAGAAATAAAGGAAAAATCAACAAGAAGGAAAGAATTTGGCACTTGGCTGTAGATACAGGTTGGTGGCTTGTTTTGCTGCATTGGTTTTAACATTTTTATTTTGTCAGAAACCACTGCCAGCTTTACCTTATTCAAACACATCATCTCACTACTACCTTACCTCTAGCTGCCTGCAGCATGCCAGGTAAAGATCAGAAATCTGTTAGCCCTGCAGTCTGGGTTTCCAGTTTCTTGAGTGACTCCCATCTGTTCACACAGTCATCTTGACATGCCTTCTTGTAAGCCCTTATTTTCCTGGAATGTAGTTGTTGTTACGTCACACAACTTACCAAAGCATCATCTTCCTAGGAAACCCTGCTCACGCCCCATTGTCTTAAAAAAGTATTTCAGAGTTCCCTGGCTGGAGATGGTTCTGTCCTTCACCTTGTTTTATTTCCTGAGGAAGCAGGCTATGGGCAGCCAGCCACTCAGCTTCTGAATGACTTTTCCCAAGGGTACCATGGTGTGAACAGAGATCTGTCCTTCTGGGTTTCTGCTTCTGTGACACTTCCTCAACAACCTATTGTCCTTTTGTTCCGCAGAGCTTCGGTGCAACCCTGGGCAGTTTGCATGTCACAGTGGTGCCATCCAGTGTATACCCCTCCCCTGGCAGTGTGACGGCTGGGCAACGTGTGAGGATAAGAGTGATGAAGCTGACTGTCCAGGTAAGTGTGTAGGTTGACCTGTTTCTGCCGTGGACTCCCACAGGGAGGGAGTGTAACCAGGCAATCCATGTGCTCTATATACATTGGAGGCCACTTGTGTATGTGGACTTAAGGTTTTCTAGAATTGTCCACACTAGATTGTTTCATTGCCCCCACCCTCCAAAGCATGACTAAAAAGAGCGTAAAGATAGATATATATATATATATACACATATATATATAATTTTAAAAAAAGATAGAAAGTTACTGAAACAAAATAACAATATCCTTTCAGTAACAGGGGGGTGGGGTTTTCAATTTTATCTGTTAGAGTCAAATTCTCACCATCTAGCCCAAGCTGGCCTAGAATTCAAGATTGTATCCAGTCCATTCTGTTTCCCAAGTGCTAGTGTTATGGATAGATACTTCCCACAACTTGAGCAGAAACAGGTGGCATGCTTGGTTCAGTGTGTCCTTGATGGGCTTTTCTTGTGTTTTGGGAGCTGGAAGGCTGGAGCCATAGTACTCGGAATGCCCTGCCAGCAGCCTTCAGTGTATCCTTTGGCTCATGTGAGAACATCAGCTTTGACTGGGACACAGTTTTTGCTATGGCTGCCAGCTGTCTAAAGGGCTACAGAGCACCTTCAATATTAACCTTAGTCTCCTGCAGGCTGGAGTCAGGGTTGGTTGCAGAGGTGAAACAGAAGGTAGAAGAGTCTATTTGACACCTGCTCTCCATAGCTGTGGGAGTTTGATTCTCTGAAGTAACAATACTGTTCCTCCAGAAGGTTTTGTCAGCATGTGACATCAATTCTGAGATGTGAGGAAGATTTTTCTTAGATCACTCTGAAGAAGGTATAAAGAACAGTGGCTACAGGAAGCAACATTTACTTCAGTGTTGGGTTTAGGGAGACACCAAATGGCCTGCAAGAAAAAATCTACAGGACACAGACAGATCTAAGATACATGATACATGGCAGAGGCAGAATTGTATAACACAGGGCTGGCACAGTTGGAAGAAAATGAAATTGGATCCTTAACTCTTAAACACAGAAAATGAAGGTTTAAGGTAAAGAAAAAAATTAAAGAGAGTCTGAGTGAATATCAACTTTGATAAGGAGGTTAAAATCTCCTTTGTTGTTGTTATGTTGCCCAGACTGGTTTCAAACTCGTAAGCTTACAATATCCTCCTGTCTTAGCTCCACATGCTGGAACTATAGGCATGTAGGAGCAGAGTGAGAACTGACTTAGCCTAACAGACTGGCTGCAGCATGGCTCTGCTGAAAAGAGAGTAAGTAAAAATGCCTGAAAGTTGAGAGTTGACAGGTTCTGGCAGGAGAAATAAAATGGGACTGCTGAGATTCTCAGTACTACACACTTGCTTATCCACTGTGCACAGTTGACTCCTCCCACCAAGAGATGATAGGCTTATTTTCTAGTCCTGTGCTGTCCAGTGGTAGCAGTGAGTGCTTGTGGCTTAGGCACTTGAAAGAACTATTTGGAATGAAGATGTGAAGGAAGTATAAAACAAGCACCGTGTAACAGCCACAGTGCAGACCAAGGATGAAGAGCATCTGGGGCTGCTCCTGTGACATGACTGCATGCCGAGGTCCATCTGCTCCGCTTACTTGTTGAAGAGCGTTAGCATTGGAGCCACTGGACACCACAGGGAAGTCAGGGAGGTTGAAAATAGAATTGAGAAGATTATCTCAGGTGACTGTCTGGATGCTTTCCACCAGCCCTGTGTTAGAAGTCTTTTCTGGGGATACACAGGTGTGTCACACAAATAGAATAGGAATAGCCATGAGAGAAGGCTCCCAGTGAGCTCTCATCCAGATGCTCTCAGTTTATGGCTTATCAATCTTCCCCTTAACCATGAAAAATAGTTGGTATTTCCCAGCTCTCTGAATGTTCCACAGACTTGACACGGCTTTCTAAGCCAGAGAGTCAGAACGGGATTACTTAGCTAACTACAGGTGTGAAACAGTAGTTAAATTCAGGGTTGAGGTCACCACCTTGTCTACACTGCTTACTGTCCCTAGTCTCTTGGACACGATTCATCTGTAAAATGGGGAATAAAATACTGCTTGCTACTAGGATTGTTGGCAAGGTTAGATAACATGATACATGAATATATAGGTACTTAGAAAGGACCACAGTACACAGCATCCCTCGGTGGAGATTACCACTTGCTGTTGTCTTATTAATTCAAGAGTAAAAGAGAACTTTAAACAATATATTCTGACTTAACAAAATGACAGTCTAGGAAATTTCAAGTCTTCACTCTGCCGCAGAAACATTCCAAAGCAACTGGAGGCTGGACAAAGAGACCCTGTAGCAGCTCTGGGAGAGACTTACAAGTCTATAACTAACTACCAAACACCTAATAAAGAAAAAGTCATGTTCAGCTACTGTGGTGGTGTATGCCCACACTCTCAGCTCTTGGAAAGCTGAGGCAGGGTTGCCAATTTGAAGCTATCATGGACTACACAGCAAGTCCTTGTCTCAAAAACAAACAAACAAAACAAAATGCTAAAGGACTAGGGGTGCAGCTGAGTTGGTAGAGACCTTATTTGATCCCAGTATTGTATGAACTAGATGTGATTGTTTGTACTTGCCTGAAGTCCCAACACTCTGAAGACAGAAGCAAGAGGATTGAAATTCAAGGCCAGCCTTGGCTACATATTTCAGACCACCCTGACATATCTCTAAAAATAAAAAAGCTATATTCAAAAAAGTAGGAAGTTTTGCGCTAGGGTGTGGGTATAAGAGTGTTGAAACAAGGTCTCTGTGTAGCCAGGGAATGGGCTGTGTGGGCCAGAGTAGCCCAAAACTAACAGAGCTCACCTGTTTCTGCCTCCTGAATACCAATGGAATGCAGTGATCTTAAAGACTGTAGATATATATGGTGCAAGAAACTGAGCAAGACTAGGGTTTTGAACTGTGGGTCGTGACCCATTTGACAAACCTCTATCTCTATAAATATTTACATTAAGATTCAGTAGCAAAATTACAGTTAGGAAGTAGCAATGAAAATAGTTTCACGGTTCAGGGTCACCACAGCATGAGAAACTGTATTAAAGGGTCGACGCTTTGGGAAGGTTGAGAACCACTGTTCTCCAGACTCTTTGAAAAGGAAGAATACATTTAAAGGCAGTGCATTTGGAACTCAGGAAAAGCTTACATATAGGCTCTGGCAAGATGCATGCCCAGAGAAATCTGAGAAGACCTTAAAAACTTCATCTCACATTAGCCCTGCTAAGTAGTTATCTTCCCCAGCACAGGGCAGGTCTTCAAAAGCTAAGAAAGAGGGCTGCTTTTACAGAAAAAGGGTCTGTCCCTGTAGAAAAGAGACTTTTTGTTTGTTTTCTGAGGCAGGGTTTCTCTGTGTAACAGCCCAGACTGTCCTGGAACCTGCTCTCTGCTCTGTAGCCCAGACTGGCCTCAAACTCATAGAGACCCACCTGTCTCTGCCTCTCAAGTGCTGGGAGTAAAGGTGCACCACCACCCGGCTCAAAGACCTTTTTTTTTTTTTTTTTTTTTTAATGTTTTTTTATTCTTTGGCAGTTTCATCCTTCTTACCCACAGCTGTCTCAGCCCTCTCTTCCCAGGCAGTCCCCTTCCTGTTTTCTTGTCGTTGTAAAAGAAATACAGGAACTAAAGGAAAATTTGGACAGAGACTTAAAACAAACAAGAAGGTAGGGAGGGGTTGAGACTGTTGCTTAATGGCCATGCTTTCCTAGCATGGACTTCTGCCTCCTAGGGAGTTAACCAAACAAATCGAAGAATAGCCACTCACACCTGTATCTCAGTGTTTAGGGAGCAAGACCACACATATTACCGAATGAGACTATCTCAAAACAGTGAAAACTTTTTCCCTCCAGCATGATAGTAGGTGATACTCGGGCACAGTCCTATTATCTTTGGGAATAATCTGGGATAAGCTGAAGTCAGCTACCAGAGGAGTCATAGACAGGCACTGTACAAACACTGGAGAAAGCCACACCCAGGTGGTTAGCTGGAGAATCCTGCATACTGCCCTGCAGAGTAGAAGAGCTGTGCTGTGACAAGCTAGGTGTCATGGACTACAGGATAAAACCTGTCAGATAGAATCCTGTGAGACCATGAGGAAGAAAATTTTAAAATCAGATCTACACAGCTGAAAACCTGATGGGAACCAAAGTATATAGAAGCTTACATAGATTCTAAGCAGCACACAGGACACTGGCAAGAACTGCTCAGGGGTGTGTCCAGCATTCTCTCTCAGAGCTCTCGCTCTTTCTCCCTCTCCCCCCCCCATCTCTTCCTCCTTTCTCCTTTCTCTTGACCTTTACGGGAAAGAACATAGTCTGGCTAGATTTATAGTGTCTCTGTGTCTTTGCTTCCTGAGATGGGGCTGTCATCTGAGAGTGTAATTTCACCTCCCTCATCTGAGTCTACCCTTTGCTGAAATTCCCTCGTCCCTGTCCCCTTTTTACCCTATAATTTCCCCTTCTGTTTGTCCCCTCCTACTTTTATATTCTAGTACTGATCACCATAGTGAAATAGTGTTACACACAATATAACAGTGTCCCAAAAGTGACTAGCATTTAATGGGTAATTATTTGGGAGGGAGTTCTTGCTTTGGGTTTTTTATTATTAAATATCATTTGTTGATATTTGTTTGACTGGTTTTTGTTGTTTGATTTGGGGGTTTTGTATGTGGATTTTTTTTTCCAGGGGGTAGCTATTTCATAGTTGACTTGTTCCAGATAGTATTCTAAAATGGGGAGGAATGCTGGTGAAGCCTCACACCCCAAACACCAGACTAACAAAAATGTTTCAACTTCTACTTACTACCTATTCTTTCCTGAACAAAGGTGACCAAAATAAAATAAAATAAAAATTTGTCCAGTAATCTAACTCACAATACAGATTCCAACCCCCAAACACAAGATTAAGGCTCACAAGATGGCTCAGCAAGTAAAAGTATGTGCCACAAATCTGACAACCTGAGTTCAGTCCCTGGCAAAAGGAAAGAACTGAATCCTAAAGGTTGTCCTCTGACCTACACACACACTACAACTTTAAAAGAAAAACACAAGTAACATGACTTCCGTGACATGTCTAATCTAAAATGTACAAACCCTGAATACGGTCTTTAGGTGACTTAGATGAATTTCTAAAAATTCAAAAGTATGATAAAAACTTTTCAAGAAACAAAAGAGGGGGAAGGGTCAAGCAAGTAATTAAAAGAAACAAAAGAGAAGTAAATTTTAAGGAGAACACAGATGAATGAGATAAAGAAGTCAATGCAGAATGAAAATAGAATTAAGAACAAAATTGAAAAAGAAACTGCTGGTGGTGGCAGCAGTGCTTGGAAGGCAGAGGCAGGCAGACAAATCCCTGAGATAGAGGTCAGCCTGATCTACAGAGTGAGCTCCAGGACAGCCAGGGCTACACAGAGAAACCCTGTCTTTAAAAAAAAAAAAAAAAAACAAGAGGGGGGGGGAAAGAGAGAAACTGAAATACTGAAAAGTCTGGTAAGTCAGATAACAAGCACATTGAAAAGCCTCCTTGGTAGAATGGGCCACAGACGCCAAGGCTAATAGACAAGGTAGAATTGGTGCATCGTTCAAGAATATTAGTAAGATCTGAAACACATACAAATAGAATGTGCGGGGAATACCATGAGAAAGCCATGTGTACAAATTGTAGACATAGAAGGAAAAGAATGCTATACCAAAAGCATAGAAATTATTTTTATCCCAAGTCTAGGTGTTGTAATTTAAGAAAAACAGCGTGCACACACACAAAAAAGATGCTGTGAGATAGAGTTCAAGCAGAGGTTTTTTTTTTATTAGGAAAAGGGAAGGGGGAGACCAGCCTCTGGAGACAGGAACAGCAGGAGAGAGGAAGGAGGAAAAGAGGGAGAGAGAGTGGAACAGAGAAAGAGAGAGAATGGGATGTGGGCACTATGTTACAAGGGAACATAGTGAATGCACAGGTGATGCTCTTAGTGGCTGCAGCTGAGGGTGTATCCTGTCAGAACCCCAAGGACAGGCCAGTACAGATGCCCGAATACTGACTCTAGGGAAAGTGAAATCCATCCAAGTACAAAGGTTAGAATCAGAACAAAACTCCCCACATTCTATCCAGTTAAACACTAACTCGACAGAGCAAAGAAAGTGTATCAAAAGCAGCAATAGAGAAGGCCCAAGTCAATACAAAGAGCCCCTTAAAGCCATCACCCTGACTTTCCTACACAAACATGCGCAGGAGAGCATTAGGGTGCAAACGAGCTGTCCACGCTGATGGAACACACCAAGGTGAATACATACCTGGAATTGTAGTAGAACAAGTTATTGGCAAGTTAAGTAATAATTGCTTACTAAAGCCCCAAAGCCAGAACATAAAGAATTCTTAGTGGTACTGCTGCTATCAAGTGGTACTACCAAGTTCTTTAAATTGATTCTGCTCTGGCCCAGCCAGACCCAGACTATCTCTCTGAGACTTGCTGGAGTGCACACCAGAGGCTGTCATCTCTCTCGGGTCTACCAGCATTTTAAAACATCAACCAAAACTTGTTTTCTGGTTTGTACTCATATGTATAATATAAAGCCCAATGGAGAATGGCTGTACAGACACACTCCTACAAGGTCCAAGTTCAAATTTGTCTCCCTGTTGCTCCTAGGTTCATGACTTAAAACCTGTACAATAAAGAGACATCTACAGAGGAAATGCTGCAGTTAACACAGGTGCTCAAGTGACCAGAGTCCTATGACAGTCAGTCTGTTAACTTGGGACTCAACTGCCAGCAAAGGCAGGACAGGGTGATCCCCCTCTTTCTCCTTTCCCTCTTTCCTCCTCTGCTCTCCTTCCTTCTCCTCTCTATCTTCCCCTCTGTTGTAGTTTGAATGAGATGTCCCCCATAAGTCTCAGGCATTTGAATACTTGGTCCCCAGTTGGTGGGACTATTTGTGAAGAATTAGGAGGTGTGGCCTCGGAGGAGGTGTGCTACCCCATTTCCAGTTAACTTTTTCTCTTTGTTTCCAGTTTGCACCTCAAAATATGAACTCTCACTTACTGCTCCTGCCTACTGCCACGCTCCCCGCTATGACGATTCTGTAAGCTGTCTTGGTGTCTTATCACTGTTGCAGGATATTTGATCCCACTATGAACCTGGATTGCATTATTTACTGGAAAAACCTGCTTCTAGCTGTGGTGTGGCTCAGTCCTAACACACCTTTTAATCAAGAGCTTTCTGCTTGAATACTGTAGACAGGATTAAATAAAACCACCTATGTCAAGAGGTGGAGCAAGCAATCAGTTGACAGGAAATAACCACAGAGTAAGAGGAAATTAGGAGAGATGCACAGGAAGTAGAAGGGAGGGACATCTTGTTGGAGCGGTATTTGAGACCCCTCCAAACAGGAAAGTTCTTTTTCTGGGACAGTGATAGAGGAGGAAGCAGCTGGGTGCTTTCTCTGCCTCTAGCAGGTTTTCACCCCAACATCTGGCTCCCAAGTCTTTATTGATAAGATAGAATGATAGAGACTTAGTTAAAAACAACATACCAGACCAATAAAAAACTAACTAGACACCCTGCCCCTTTCTCTGCTCTGCTGTCTCCATCTTCCTCCCTCCTCGTTCCCTCTTTTTCTTCTATGTGAAGGTAGAAGTTCAGTGTCCCATGCACACTGGATAAGGCTACATTTCACCTGATTCCAAATTTTTAAGGATTTGTGTAGGAAAAACAAAAGACTTACAGAGAGAGCCTTCATGTAGTAATGGTTGATAGATACGTTTGAACACTTTAAATATTTCACATTAAATATTGTTTCATAATGAAAGGAGAGAATGGAATTAGGTAAAAATAAGCTTACGCCCAGGGTATTATAGAATTGGGTATCTAGAGAAACTTCAGTCAAGTGGGCTAACTGTGGAGTCAAGGAACAGTGTGTAGGAAGCCATCCCTTGTCACATCTTCAAGTGGCATGCATAGCAAGTATACTACTGTCTGGCTTCACCATGTCCCGATGCGGAAGAGTAGGAGGTAGTGGGCCCAGGAGACATGTTGGCTCTGGTTGTCTCCTGCTCAGTGACCTAGGGTCACTCACCTCACTTCTTTTATTCCATTCTTGCTTTGTGAGGTGGGAGAAAAGTGTCTCTCATGGGGTTGAATGACTCCCAGAGATCTGTGTGGGAGGAATGATCTGCAAATTGTTAGGTCATTCTGTATAAAAGTAGAATGGGCCTCCTAGCTTCAGCCTCCAATCCACACTCATCCACACATGGAGACCTGTTGCACACCAGGACCTATACCGGGTGTTTTGTATCCCGAGCCACTAGCCTAGTAGCTTCACAGCTGCAGGGGACCTGCAGGTAAGTGGACAGCCAGGTGACACAGGCCAGTGACAGTGTGGTAGAAGACTGTATATGGTAGGTTTCTCCTGCACACTTATAGAATGTTTCCAGGACTGAGGCTAGAGGGCATCCCAGGCCTTAGGAAAAGCTCCCTCATCAGGCATTCCCATAGAGCTGGCACTGCCAACCATTGTAAAGCAGGGAATGGCTGACTAGGAGTGTTTGCAAAAGAAATAGACCCTATTTCATAATAGCAATAAAATAAAAGGAATACTTGTCAAGAAATAGCTTGTCCTAGTTGATGTGAACAATTGTAGTTTTTAGATATCCAAAGAAAATCCTGATGCCACATCCCCACCAGGCCTTTCCAGCACTGAGCTGCCATTGGACTTGGTGCTGGCAAACAGCAAGGTTGTATCCTGGCTGCTGCTAATGGGTTCACAGCATACTTCTTCTGCTTTCAGAAGTGACTGGAGAAGCCCATCCTTACCATGGGAAGGAGACCTTGGACCTGTGGCAGGGGCGGACCAGAAGAGGTGACCCCACACACTTCCACACAGTGAACATGGCTCAGCCTGTCCGCTTCAGCAGTAAGTTGCAGACCTGCCCTAAGGCTGTGCCCACTAACATGTTTGTCAGCCCACCTTAAGTTTGCGGCCTCACTTAGCCCTGACTCTCTCCAGGCTGCTGCTGGGGAGATAGGTTTACTAAAGCAGCCCTGGAAGATGTCGAGGGAATGTGAATGAGGCTGTATGTGAGAGTGCATAGTTACAACATGGAAGCAGTCTCCCTCTTTTAGTGCTTAGTCAATGAATAACCCATGGCAATACTTCTGAAGGAGCATAACAAGGCTGAAGAAAAGTAAAGCATAGTTTAAAATGCCCCACCCTGCATAGCCATGCTGATGATACCCTCTTATGTATAAGAACAGCCAGACTTGGGGCAGAAGGACTGGTGTTAATGTGCTTCTGAGGGGCACAGGGGTCTGTTTTCTGTGTTAACTCTTAGCCCACAGCCTCAACATGGGAGGTGACTCAGGCACTTTGCACACTCAGCCTCTGCCTGCAGCCTGTGCTGACATCACCAGTGACTGCCTGAGCCCAACACATTCAGTGCAGTGAGGAACCCTGGAAAGCCAATGACTTTCCAGGCTCCCAGCACGCCTCACAGTTCCATTCCCATCTTGCATGGAGTCATAGTTCTTGGTCTGAGTGATGATGGGAAACGTGTAACCAGGCATCTGAATTCGTGTAAGAAACTTAAAATAAATGCTGTCTTCTTACCCTCAGGGAGTATATGTCCTGTGTATACTGAGCCATATTGTCTTCCAGGAGGCCCCATATCCCTGTGCAGTCAGCTGTGCTTACCTGAGGCCTGGGCAATGAGCGGATACTGCTGTTCTTGCACACAGTTTTGTCAATATGTGCTCCATTTATAAGTCAGTCACACATACTTTAAATCTAAACATGAGGGCCGGGCTGGTGAAATGGCTCAGCAGTTAAGAGCGCTGGCTGCTCATTCCAGGGCCGTGGGTTTAATTATTAATTAACAGCACTCATGGGGTGGCTCACAATCCAGGGGGTCTGGTGCCCTCTTCTGGCCTGTACATGGTACACTGCATGCACATGGTACACAGACACAAGGAAGCAACCCACACATAGATGAAAATAAAAACATGAGCATAAACCTAATAAGTTTTACCAGTTTCATGGCATGTAGGTACATTTATTTATTTGTTTGTTTATTTATTTATTTATTTATTTAATTTTTGGGGGTTTTTGAGACAGGGTTTCTCTGTGTAGCTTTGGAGCCTATCCTGGTGGCGCACACCTTTAATCCCAGCACTCGGGAGGCAGAGGCAGGCAGATCTCTGTGAGTTCGAGGCCACGCTCCTCAGAACCACCCCACCCCACTCCCAAGACCCCGCAAAAAAAAGTAGAAGTAGTAAGTTGCAAAAATCATTATGATTGTGTTACATAGTGAGACTGTCTCCAAATAGGAGTAGACTGATAGAATGAGTCGAGAGAGAGAGAGAGAGAGAGAGAGAGAGAGAGAGAGAGAGAAAGGATTTTTGTTTTTGGTTTGGTTTGGTTTTTTGAAACATGGTTTCCCTGTAGCTTTGGAGGCTGTCTTGATACTTGCTCTATAGACCAGGCTGGCCTCGAACTCACAGGGATCCACATGCCTCTGCCTCCCAAGTGCTGGGATTAAAGGTGTGTGCCATCACCACCAACAAGAAAGAGGGTTTATTAGAATGGCTTACAGGCTGTGGTCCAGCATGGCTGTCTACCAATGGAAGGTCCAAGAATCCAGTAGTTGTTCAGTCCGTGAGGATGGATGTCTCGGCTGTATATACCCAAATCCTGAAGAAGTAGGCTGTGATGCCAGTGAAGGAATGGACTTGTCAACAAGAGCTAGGACAGGCAGGCAGAGAGTGGCTTAAAGGTGGATCTTCCCATCTCAAATGATTTAATTAGGAAAGAAAGCCCTCACAGGTGCACCCAGCCTCAAGTTGACAAGCAAGAACAGCATCACAGTGCTAACATTTGAATGAATGTTCTAGATCTGTGGAGCAGATCACTAAGGTATAAAGTGCCTTTACTTTACACTTCCGTGCCTGAGGGGCGCACGAACCATCTGAGAATGAGAAGATGCTGGAGGTGTCCTGGGGATGGGGCTCTGACTGCCTCAGCCTCACTAGCTGTGGCAAAGCTGTGCCTCCTTTTCTCATCTATGAGAGGCAGGTTTGGACCCTCTGAAATTAAAATTATGGAACTGTTTTAGGGGAATGCTGGTTGTCCCCTTACTGAAAATACCTGTGTGAACAGAAAAGAGGAGACAGTGGGCTTGCTGGCAGCAGAGGCCAGAAACAGTCAGTCCTGGAGTTTTGTTTACTCCTAGGGCTTTGCTGAGACTAATTTTCTGCTTTGTTAACCAGATATAAGCAGAGAATGAACTGTTTTAGAGAAATTATCTCAGCAGCTGTTGTTGATTTTGACTACTAAGGAGATTGAAGAAGCATGTAAAATTTAGAGGGCCCTAAATACATGTGTACCCTAGGTAGGATTGTGCTTTTTAGAAGAACCTAATCATTTGAGCCAATGTGATCCATCTCGGGGCTGGGAGCTTATCAATGTAAGTGAAGAAGTGAAGCCATGGTGGAACTACCAACCTAGACCACTCTGGGTAGAAAGGTTTATTGGGCATCTACCTGCCAAGGCATGTACTCACTTTCTCTCTCTCTCTCTCTCTCTCTCTCTCTCTCTCTGTATCTCTCTCTGTCTGTATCTCTCTGTTCCTCTCTCTCTCTGGGTGAGGCAGAGAGAAAATGAAGGAAAGACAAGCAGATTTTCTGACTGTCAGGATGGAGATCCTTGAGCTGACACAGGCTGTGTAGATTGGATAGGTGCTCTTGCCAGAGGCAGTTGGTCTTTGGGGGAGGATTGAGAGTGGTTCCTGGTAGATAGAGATCCCCCTCTAGGTTTCTGTGTAGGACATTGTCCCCAGCACTGATATTTTGGGGAAGTCTACTTTGGACCTGTTAATCATCTCAAGCTCTCCGTCTCCCAGGTGATTCTGAGGTCTGTCTGCTGTTGATGCAGCACTTGTAGTTTCACTTTTGAAGCCAGGATCCTAATTTGGGGGACAACTCCCCTTCCGTTCTTCATGCTTCCTAGGGAAATGCCCAACCGGGTGGCACCACTATGAAGGCACAGCCAGCTGCTACCGGGTCTACCTCAATGGAGAGAACTACTGGGATGCTGCGCAGACCTGCCAGCGTGTGAACGGCTCACTAGCTACTTTCTCCACTGACCAGGAGCTGCGCTTCGTCCTGGCCCAGGAATGGGACCAGCCAGAGCGGAGCTTTGGCTGGAAAGACCAGCGCAAGTGAGTCCCAGGGTTCAGAGTCTGTTCACTGCTGAGCACTCACTGGCAACCCCCCGTTGGGGAAGGCAGTCCCCATCAGTAGAAGCAGGTAGAGATCCAGGGGCTTAGTTTGGCATCAGGATGAAATTGGAGGGCTACTGAAAGAACAAGGAGTACAGGGCCCCATTGCTGCTTTGTGAGATCATGGACCAGCCTCTTTCACTGCTTCTGTCTGTGGATACAGCTACACTTGGTGACTGTGGCCAGGCTGTGCCAGCCTAAATCCCAAGGGGTTGCTCAGTAGGGCTCTGGGCACAAGAAGGGTACACAGGTGGGTGGGAGTGCCTTCTGATAGATGAGCCTTCTGATACTAGCCCTGCTGGCTGCTGTCTGTGGCCCTGCTCAGTCTTTCTCAGACACTTTGGGCTTCCAAGTGCTTGTACATGTGACTGTTGATGAGCTCAGGGGCATGTTCCAGGCCTATCTCAGGCAGTCTGCCTAGAACCTGCCTCCTGAACTCCAGGCCCTGCTCATCTAGAGGAAGCAGAAAAATAGCAGCCAACTTGAAGGCTTGGTATTTGTGGGGCTTTTGTTTAGGGACAGGAATGTGTCAAAGTTCTCAGTATGCCACCTCTAGAAGCAATACCATGTGCCCAATATCTGTGCTGTAGGGGTGGGAGTTGGAAATGGCAGCCAGATGTCTCCTCTCCTCTAGAAGGAAGCACAAAATATGGCCAGTGTTCACTGCCAGTCACTTAGTGCCTCCTAACAATGATATAGCTCCATTCTACCAGGGGAGCATGATGACCTAAGGCAAGTGGCCAGAAGGCCATTTCAAGATAAGCTACAGTTATGTCATGTATGACAAACCAGAACACTGTGCTGTTTCTTGTCTGCAGCTGCAGTGTCAGGTAAATAACTCCTCTTCCCTGGGCCTTGCTAGGGAACACCCTGTCTTCCATGGTGGCCACATGTATGCATAACTGGCACTGCTCACAGCAGGTTTTACTCTGTGTGGGCTGGAGTGGCATGGTGTTTCAAGTGGTGTCAGGTCTGCAGGAATGCATCTCTAGGACTGAAACTGAAACTAAGAGCTAAGGCTTTTACTTCTCTTGCATGTCTGTTCACTCTGCATCCTGCTAGCAACTCTTCCTTTCTGCTTCCCAGAGCTCTCTCTGTCTAGACGTCCTGCTTAGCTATTGGCCATTTAGCTTTGTACCAAGCCAATCACAGTGACACATCTTCACAGTATAAAGGAATAATCCTCAACAGATCCATTTTAGAATTTTACTTTTTTAGAGGTCAGTATAACCATGTAAATACATACACAGGACTGAAGGTATAACTCGGTGGCAGAGACTTCCCAGCGTACATGAATGATACTCTGGGTGTAGTGGCACATGCCTATAATCCCAGCTACTTACCTAGGAGGTTGAGCAAGTAGGGTCAAAGCTCAAGGCAAGTCTATCCCAAATAAATAACGGTGCAGGAGTGGAGTGCTTGCCTTGCTCTTGGGACCAAAAAAAAAAAAAAAAGATAGATAAATGTCCTCACTTCCACTAAATACATCCATATATACATAGGTAGTCGTCAGTGGCTCTTTGGCCCTATTACTGAGGTTTCTCTCTGTCCTGCAGGCTGTGGGTTGGTTATCAGTATGTCATCACTGGGCGGAACCATTCCTTAGAAGGTCGCTGGGAAGTAGCATTCAAAGGTAAGTATTCTCATTGATTAAGTGTGAAATGGAACCACCCTGACTCAAGAAATTGCTGGAGTCGCCCTGCCTGCCTGCCTCCACCCAGTGGTTACTTGATCTGCAAGGCCACAGGGGATAAGGCACATGGAAATGGGTTGCAGAGAGGGTACCCTGCGCCAACATACTGCCTACCAGTCAGTCCCTGTGTGTTTCTATAACCTTCTCTGGAGCTGCAGCAGCCTTTAGCTCTTGATAGTCCTCCAGCCCTATGGTTGTTGTCCAGTTGACACCAGCAGCCCCTTGAGGACTGTGTGTAACAATCTGCTAAAGGTTGGACATGTCTATCCTTACCTTTATTCTCCACAGGCTCCTCAGAAGTATTTCTGCCTCCAGATCCCATCTTTGCCTCCGCCATGTCTGAGAGTGACAATGTGTTCTGCGCCCAGCTCCAGTGTTTCCACTTTCCTACGCTAAGGCACCATGACCTCCATAGCTGGCATGCCGAGAGCTGCTCTGAGAAGTCTTCATTTCTGTGTAAAAGAAGTGAGTGCTGGCAGTCACCCTCCAGTGCGCTCTGACCCCGTGGTGCTCTCAAGTGCCTCCACTCAGCTGGCTCTAGCTCTGTGGCCTGGGCAGCCATAGCTGTTCTTGACCCCTGACCACAGTTTCTGCTTTATTGGCTTCAGTGTTCCTCAGAGATTGGGAGAGAACAGTGATCTCAGGATTTACCAATCCTGCAGCAGCTCTGTAGCCCCCAGGGCCTTAGTAACCTTGCAGTTGGATATCCCCTTGGCTCTGTCTGGTCTGTGTGAGTTCTCTTCCCTAGTGTATGGGATCAGGAGTCTCCCCAGCCCTCTGCCAGTGCATCCACCCACATTTTACATTCCTCCGAGGATAGACACACCAAGCCAAGGTGGGGCATCCCACCCCCACCCCATATCCCATTCTCAAGTTAGGAAGGGGTAAGGAGGAAGATTGGTCTTGATCTGCTGACAGTCGCTGAAGTAATGGTTGAAGTGAGGTGTGCGGTCAGCTCTGACCTTGTGAACTAGGCCTTTCTCCTTTGCTCTGATATATTGGCACCTCTCCTCCCCTGCTGTGTCAGCCTTACAGGTGTCCAGGCCTGTTCTGACCCCTGCTGTCAGTTTGTGTCAGCATCATGCTTCTAGGGAACAGGTTAGGCTAGACCTCAACATCTGGCATGTGTTTTTTTCTCTCTCTCTGACTTGTTCTTTTGGGCCTTTTTCTCTTCTACACAAATTTTAGAGTTTTTTTTTGTTGTTGTTGTTGTTTCTCTTATTAGTTCTTTTATTTCCATGAGATCCTCTTAGATATCTCATAGACAACTTTGAAACTTTGAAACCGTGCACCCAGATTTCTTGAGCTCTTCTTGCTGAGATCTCCAGTACAGCGTTGATTAGTGTGTCAGCACCAAGCTTAATGCTTTCTACAGAATTTTAAAATGTATCTTTGGGAATAAAGGAATTGCATTTCTGTTCCTACTGTTTCAGGAATATTCATTCATGCCTATAGGCATGGAAATCAGGATTCACTAGACTCAGTATAAGTGAAGTGGGGTTTATTTGAGGAAAAAGAACTTACACAGAAAACAAGTGACAGTCGAGGTGCTCCAGCTCCAAGGATGCAGACCCTGCCACCTTGATGTTCTCTGTGACCCAAAGGGGCTTCCGAGCCCCAATCCTGTTCCTTTTTAACCAGTCACGTCCACACTGTGACCATGCCCTTTTGATTGGTGCTACAGGTGCGGAGATGAATATCACTGCAATAAAGAAGAAGATTTAGGCTTGATACAAAACTATATACAAAGATAGCAAATATCAAGTATACTCTAAAAGAAAGAAAGGTGAAAACATTCACAATTTAAGACCTACTACCAGTGAAGCAACAAGAGCAATTGGCAAGAACTACATATCCAGTCCTAGGGTAAAGGCATAACAGAGATTACTACAAAGTTGTTCAAAACTGGAAAGTTTAAGCCTTGTACCTAATATTTCTGTCTAGGAAGAGAGGACAATAATTGTGACATCTAATCTTCAACCTCATCAAAGACCTGAGAAGGAGGATAACAATGCTAGGGTAGGCAGAAAGTGCAGGTGAGCAACTTGCAAAGGTGCAGTGAAGACAGAAACAGCAGACTACCTGGACAGTCTCCCAGAGTCTCACAGCTTTGGCTAAGATCTAGAGTAACTGACCGACACAGAAGCAGGGAGCTTGAAAGACTGTCTCACCCTGACTTGGCAGGGTCCAGTGGTCTCAAAGTATGTCTCCTGCAAGCACAGTAGGACAGCATGTCCAAAGTCAGCGGTCGAGGTGGGGGCAGTTCTTTGCCCAAGAGGCCAGTAGCCAAGGAGAGAAAGGACTCCAGGAGTGTCATTGGTGCCTAACATACTTTAGGGAATAGCTCGGTGCTGTCAGGAGCAATTGTGTCTCATGTCAACAGAGTACTAATATTAAAACATTTAAATGCCATATTCTGCAGGTCTTTCAAGTGTTTGAAGATTAAATATCTATGTCTGACTAACCTCATAGGTAACTATAACCTGTAATTCTCAGAAATATAGTTGCTGAATGGCTGAAGCTTCCCAAAATAATTTAGCAAGGACAATGACTTCAAAAATGTAAATACACACACACACACACACACACAAAATTCTCAATAACAGAGATAGAATTGAAATGTCTTGACTAGAGGTAGAGTGTACCAGATCTCCTTATAGATGGCTGTGAGCCACCATGTGGTTGCTGGGAATCGAACTCAGAACCTCTGGAAGAGCAGGCAATGCTGTTAACCTCTGAGCCATCTTTCCAGCCCCAATTTAAGTTATCTGTAGCTAACAGTTGTTAAAATTAGTTCACAAGAAGATATGTTGATCTACCTATATCCCATCCTAACCATACTTTCCCATCCATACCCTTAAACTTATCTAAAAGAGATACTGGAGTCTGAGCATCACCTTCCATACCCAACCCTATACAACTAAAACCAACCCTAAACAGGTGACAATTATCCCTTTTTTAGTGACGAGAGAGAAAAAAAAAAAAAACCCTTAATGCCAACAGTAGGGAAAGGGTGCATTGTTTTCTTAGGATTGCTTCCTGCTGAAATGGGGTGATGATGACTCCATGGGATCCTGTAGGGAAAAAAAATGAAGCAACTGAAGGTCTTGAGAGGACTAGCTGTAGCATTTGTAGCTAGTCTCTGTGTGGTGGGAGATGCTTGACTGATTTTCTTATCTAAAGCTCTGGCCAGGGTATAATAAGAAGGTACACCATTTCTGCTAGCTAGTCTGGAGTTGTCTAGAGTAGTATAGTCCCAAATCAGTCTTAGAGTGGTGTTTACTAGTTTAAAGACATCAAGTGGAATCGATGAAGTAGGGACCCATCTTTCCAGAGAGTTCAAAGATTGCTGTTAGGAAATTTTATTGTTCACTGTGGAAGACTTAAACGCTAATATCAGCACAGAAAGTTTAGCTTTAATAGGTATGCATACAGGGAAAGGTAACAATAAGGATGAAAATGAGTATGAGGGAATAGGATTTTTGAGAGAAAACAGAGTTAAGACAATAGTAGTCCTAGATTTTGTTTTCTTCTGTCTTAACATCAATTGGCCTTTTGAGTTTTACTAGAGAGTTTTTTCTGGTTTTCAAAATTAATGTAGGTTTTTCTTCTTTAATAGTATCACTTTGTTCATTTTTTGTTAGACCTTCTTTTTTGATCCAGGTTTTCACTGTGTTGCCCATGCTCATCTTGAACACTTGGGCTCCAGTGACTGTCTTCAGCCTCCTGAGTAGCTGGGGCCTTGGGCACTCACCGTCATATTTGCTGCTTACCCATCCTTGTGGGGTTTGTGTATCTCACATTGTTAAATTTCATTTGTTGATACTTAGTCTCACTTTTTTTTTTTTTTTTTTAATTCTTAAGAGGTGAGCCTGGCCTGGCACATTCCTTTTCTGTACTCTCCTTGGCTCATATTTCTGTTTTTTAAATGTAATTCGGTTTTAAGTTTATTGTTGCAACATTTCTTCATAATTTAGTTATCATAAAATGCAAAGAAAATTAGCTTTCCACAGTATATAAGTGGTTGATGCTAAGAAATATCCCTAAGGCCTGTGAGACAGCTCAGCAGGTGAAGGTGCTTGCCTGACACTCGTTCCATGCCCAGGGTCCAGCTGATGTGAGGAGAGAACCTACCTCACATTGTCTTTTGATGAGCACACATGCACCATGGCACACATACGCACATACATACATTCATACACATACAAGTAAATAAATGTAATTTGAGATTTTATAGGTTTTCCAAATACAAGTAAAAATCAAAAAAGACCCAGTTATCAAAACGAAAATTACTCAACATATTAAAAGTTAACAATAATTTGTGTAGCGCTTATAAAAAAGTCAAATTCTGCTGGTCCTGGTGGCACACGCCATTAATCCCAATACTGGGAAGGCAGAGGCAGGTAGGTCTCTTGAATTCTAGGCCAACCAGGGCTACATAGTAAGACCCTGCCTCAAAAATAAATAAACAAATAAATGAATTAATAAGCATTTTGCCCTCATTAGAAAGGTGTTAGATTTTGATTATACTGATTTTGGCAGCCAAGTTGTTTGTTTTTAATAAGAAATGGCATTGTAGTGCTAGTCCAACCAACAGTCTTTTCCTTTTTAAGCAAGAAACGTTGCAAGTAATCAAGAGGCATCCAGGAGACTAGCTTCTTAGCTCCTAAAGCACTCGCAAAGAAAACATTTGGTGGGCTAGGGAGGGGGATGGGCAGCTGGGGAAGAATGGGCACCACTGGAGATAACTAAAATAGAGAGTGCTTGATAGCCAGGTATGTCTACTGAGTTCTTTTCCTTGGCCATTTTTTATCCCTTTACTACAGTTTGTCTTTGCTTTTTTTTTTTTTCATCAAAAGATAAAAAGTGTGGAGTTTAGACCAGCCCTGAAATGCCTGCTCAGCAGTGTCCAACTCAGGCATTATCAGGCTACCTGCACATTGATAAATTCCATCAAATCTTTAGTAGGATAAATCCCATTAACCTACTAAAATATGAAGGCACAGAAAGCAGTGAAACACACTTTTTACATGATGAACATAAGATTCAAATGTTCAGTCTGAAGTTATACATAACCATTTTGTCTCTCTTCTCACTAAATATTCCTGTGTGGTCATGTTTACTTTTACTAATTCACAGTGGGTTTAAAATCTGAACAGCAGCCAGACAGTGGTCATGCACACCTTTAATCCCAGCACTTAGGCAGCAGAGGCAGGAGGATTTCTGTGAGTTTGAGATCGGCCTGGTCTACAAGAGCTGGTTCAAGGACAGCCTCCAAAGACACAGAGAAACCCTGTCTCAGAGGAAAAATAAAAATCTCAACAGCACCTTCCCAGACATAACAGCTCATCAGAAAGATTGTCTCTCTTCTGATTCCCTAACCTTCCTAAGTATACAGTCAATTTTATAACATTGCTCCAAACACTAGGTCGTGGTAAACATGGTAGGTCCAGATTCGTTACAAACCCTTCATGGTGTGACGTAATTGGTAGAACCCAAGTGTGGAAGCCTGCATCAGCCCTCTGAGCAGATTACACATGCTACCTGTGTGTGACAGCTTGCACATCAGTCATTTGGGAGCCAGGATGTTGCTACTCAGACCTTCAACCTCTGTCTTGGATCTTTGGTTCCATTCACATGCCTGGTTGGGTACCATTAAAGTCCCTGAACATTACTCAAGGCAATACTCTCACAGAGAGGACATCTGACCCCAGCGGGCAGTTCATCTGTGACTTACGAGATACTTTGTGCAAAGTGAAAAAAGATTTCGCAGGGCTGGAGACATGGCTCAATGGTTAAGAACCTTGTACAATTCACAGTAGCCATTTAACTCCAGCTCCAGGGAACCTAATGCTCTCTTCTGAATTCCATGGGCACCCACACATACATGAACATACCTACACACACGTACACATAATTAAAGATACTTTTTTTTTTTTTTAAGTTTTAGGTCCCAAGAATCTCTTTCAATGAGTGTCAATGGAAAGATTCTTTTTATTGGTTTTTAAACGTGTCCGTGTGTCATGCATGTTTGTGCACACATGTGGAGATCAGAGGACAACCCTCAGGAGTGAGCTGGTTTTCTTCTTCTGCTAGGGATTGAACACATATCATCAGGCTTGGAAGACAGATGCCATTCCCAAGATTCTCTTCCTCTTTGTTTGTTTGTTTGTTTGTTTGTTTGTTTGTTTGAGACAGGGTTTCTTGGTAGTTTTGGAGCCTGTCTGGGACCAGCCTCGAATTCACAGAGATCCGCCTGCCTCTGCCTCTGCCTCCTGAGTGCTGGGATTAAAGGTGTGCGCCACCACAGCCTGGCCCTCTTTTTTTTTCTAAATGAGGTTGACTGCATCGTACTGTCTAATTCAATCCAAACAATCTGCATCACAGTAGTTCTCTCACCAGGTTTGGGTGATAGCTGGAATACTTTCTGACTGCCGTAGCAGTTGGCATGAATTTGTCTCCATCTCTCAATAGTTGTTGAATGAAATATGTAATCTTCCCATGTGAATGGAATGTGTTTAGCACAGCTGCCCGTTACACACCTTCCACCTCTGCAGTGATATGGATGGCTCATTCTCCACTCCAGTACCGTTCCCATCAATGCCCATTCTGCTTGTCTAGAGTTGTAGAATGTAGCTAAAATGAGAACATCCTGCATAAGCTTGGAGTAAGGGACTCGGTTGTTAGTGAAACAGTATATACTTTTCCCTGGAGTCGCCAGAGGAGATTTAACAAAAACAGAAGAGACTTCAGGCTCTTCCCCTAGTGGTTAAGGATCACATAACCCTTGCCATCAGACCGAAGTCTTTAGCTGTAACATGACAGGGTGGCCACTTTAGTACATATGTGGGTTTTTAAATTGCTTCATTACCCTCCTTTGAATTTTGATCACCTACGTTTGCTGCCCCCTCAGCAGCAGCACAGAAGAGACAGTGAACTGTGGCTGTTGCCAGCTTTCCCTACTGTTGTATATCCTGTGCCTGCTGCCACCATCTGCTGTGCTGGCTGAGGCCAAAACTTGAGAGCTCTCTGACCATCTACAGAGAGGCCACCCTTTGGGTAGGGGAGCTGGGAAGCTAAAGCAATAATAGCAAGAGAGCAGCAGGGTGGGTCGGCAGCTACCACTTCATTGCCCAGGCAAGCAGACTGGCTCGACTTAGTGTCAGCATTTATATTCATTTTATAAAGTATATTGGGAAGCAGACCCATACCATTCTTTAAATCTGTAGGCGTTGGAGGTAACCTTGTTTTTGAGTGTTTGCTAGACAAGACTTTAAAGGACCATCTGTACTCTGAGGGGAAAGCAAGAGTAACCTTTGGTAGCATTAGATATAATTTCAAACTTAGGGAAAAATTACAAGGGCAGTGTAATGTACTTCCTCGTTCCCTTTATGGTGCGTACCTGTATTTGTCTCACCAATTCAACATCTGTTCAAAATTAGAGATGCTGTGGACTCATAGCAATCCAGTGTATTTACTAAGAACATACTCTTGTATAAACATAGTACAGTTTTCAACTTCATGATTATTTCATTTGACAGTAATACCATACCATCATTAACAGTCTATTGCAGTTTTGTTAGTGGTTTCAATGATGGCCTTAAGGTTGATTTTTCTCCAGTCTGGAATCCAGTCCAGAATCACACGCTGCACCTGACTTCCATGTCCCTTGGTCTCATTTCTGTCCTTGAGTCTGAATCAGCCTTACCCTTCTTATGTCACACATACTTAAGAGCCTGTTCCGGGGCTGCTTCTTTACTCCTTTTGTCTGTGCCTTGCATTTCTAGGATTTCTGCTTGGTCTTTCCATTTCTTGACTAACCTTTCCATCTGTGACGGTTTGAATAAGAATGGCCCCCATAGACTCATATTTGAATGCTTAGTCACCAGGGAGTGGCGCTACTTAAATGGATTACAAGAATTAGGAGGCGTTTCTCTAGGGGTGGACTTTAAGGTTTCAAAAGCCCAAGCCAGACCCTCTGTGTCTCTGTGTCTCTGTCTCTCTCTGTCTCTCTGTCTCTCATGTAGCTCTCAGCTACTGCTCCAGCGCCATGCCTGCCACCATGCTCTCTGCCATGATGATAATGGACTAAACCTCTGAAACCATAAGCAAACCCCCCACTGAGTGCTTTTTTTTTATGAGTAGTAAGACACCATCTGATCTTGCGTGTGGCCTGCCTTTGCCATTAGAACCTTTACTGTATGGGCCATTGACATTTGTGGTCTCTGTGGGGTGGTTCTTTCATCTGTGTCATATCTGGTATTTTTTTCATTTAGTGTACGGCAGTAGACATGGGGGCTTGCAGCTTGGTTTGTGGTACAGGAGATCCTTCATCCCACAGGAAGACGGGACTAGGCTAACTTAGCACACCACAGCCTTCCTGTTCTTTCTGCTCCATCCTCCATATTTGGTCTGCCTTTGAGCTGCCTCAGAGACCACCTGACAGAACTTCCCAGTGATAGTCAGCTGTGACAGCTTGTGGCCTGCTGCTGTTCTGATTCTGCATCAGCCCTCGGAACGCTATTCTCCCCTACGGCTGGCTCCAGCCTGGCATCTTTAGGGTGCTTGAAGCTTCCGAGAACACGATTCATTGCCTGACAAGGGTCAGAGTACTTGGCTAGTTGTGTGAGGAGCATATTGGCCTTATGTTTTGTTTTGTTTTTTTCTTTTTGGAGCCTGAGTTGAGAGTACAGATAGAAAGTATAGTTAGCTGTGTTAGCCAGAGTTCTGTAAGGGAGCAGAACTCATGGAATTAACACATATATGAAAGAGAATTTATTAGAACTGGCTTAAGGATACTGTCTAAATAGTTCAGCAGTGGCTGTCTAACCCTGGGAAGGCCGAGAATCACCTAGTTGTTCAGTCCACAAGGCAGTCCCAGTCTGTAACTGGGGTCTTGTAGGGTTCCTAGAGAACACCTGGTGTCAGACTGTGTTGGAACCCTGAAGGAGAGTAAGGACAAGCAGGCAAAGTGTTTTCTTCTATGTCCTTTTATTCAGGCTGCCAGATTTAGGGTGGGTCTTCCAGCTTCAAATAGTTGATACATTCAAATTGACAAACAAGATTACTGCTTAGGCGGCCGAGCCAATGGCCTGTGTTGATGCTTAACGGTTTTGGGATAATTAATGGTATCCTGTAGTTTTCTAAGGGTTCTGTTTCTTTTTTTCCTTGTTCTTTTCTCATTGTTGTAGCACAGAATGTTCTGTTTCTTCCCCTAAACAACGGTGGCCATGTGGGTGATCTCAGTCCTAACTGAGGAGAGCTGTAAGCTTTCCAGAATTTCTTTCTAGATACCCCCATGCCATCTGGAAAGTGGAACAAGCTTCCTTTTCCAGTTCCCTAACCTCATACACATCCCTTCTCCGTGCGTCTGTCATATCTGCTTACTAGCTTAAGGGGCTGGTTATAGCTCTTTCCCCTGCTCAAGTCCCCTAGGTCACTTCTGTGCAGTTTACTACATATGTCTCAGTTTCAGGGGATCTTCTTGCCAGGCAGTACCTAGAGACTCATTATAAACACATTCCATTTTTCAAAGAGTTGATATCCATAACATCTGCATTTTAGCATTTAGAAAATCTCATAAATGAAGTAGGCACCTTAAAAGCAAATACTTCTACAGGCACCTTTGCCCTGATCTGCCATTCCTGTTCTGAGTTGGTGGGCTTCATTTGTTTTAACCAGTTGTGCTTTGTCTAGATGGAGTGTGGTGACTGCTTCAGATTCATAGCATGCCGTACAAGGAAGTACTTGCGGAAAAGATCTGACCCTGTCTTTCAAAGGTGCAGGTAGCAGTGAGGAACCAAGGCTCAGTGCTGCTGGTAACACATACATCTGTGCATATGTGCCCCTTGCAGGTCAGACATGTGTTGATATTAAAGACAATGTGGTGGATGAAGGGTTCTACTTCACTCCCAAGGGAGATGACCCATGCTTGAGCTGTACCTGCCATCGAGGAGAGCCTGAGATGTGTGTTGCTGCCCTGTGTGAGCGGCCCCAGGGATGTCAGCAGTACCGCAAGGACCCTAAGGAATGCTGCAAGTTCATGTGTCTGGACACAGGTGAGGCAGCCACCCCTTGGCCAAGTAGTGATGAGGACTCGCAAGAGCTTGTTGTACATGACACAGCAGCGGTGGCTACACACACTTTACATAGCTGACTTGGCTCGCTAGGCATCTGTAAAAGCCCCCATGACTGTGAAATCCTGTCTCGACAGATCAAAAAGAAACAAAACTCTTCACCCCTAGGTGGTGCTCTAAGGTACACATTGTGTAGTTAAGTTTCAGGATAACTGTATTCCTTCCACTTGCAACAAAAGAATGTTCATGGGGCTTAGATATTCTCAGTGATAGAGCACTTATCTATCATGTGTAAGGCCTGGGGTCCTTTGCACTCCTGGTGGGAAAACTCAGCAGTTTTGAGTCCTGCTCAGGCACATTAGCACCCATAGACACCTTGCGTGGCCTCTTTCTTTGCTGTACATCAGAGCCACTGACATCTCAGCCTCAAGAGGAGTATGAATTAAAAGCATGAATTTCTTATTTTCTTGGGTGCCACAGTATGACAGTGATATGGGTAGGCCCTGCAGAATAGCAGCTTGGGGGTGAAGATTGTGTCCTCATTCTCCAGGTGCTCTGTGGAAGGGAGGCTAGAGCTGGAGCATGAGGCCACAACTGTTGAGTACTGTCCCCTGAGCAGAGTGCCATCATCATCCTTCCCTAAGGGGCTGCCAGGTAGGAGAGTGGAGCTGCCCTTTCGAGGCTGTGTCTAAGACTGGACAGAAGCAGGCATTCTGCACATGTACCGTCAGACATGCAGTCGACTTGAAGTAAGTGCAGAGGCTGTGCTTCTGGGAAGCCCAACAGAATGCAGAGACCTTGGCATCAGGAGGTTGATACTTGGACCTCTTCCTTCCCACAGAATAGAATGCATCCTCCCAGGGTCATGAAAATACAGATAGCAACTGGTTATTTGCAAAGTTTCCTGTGCCCCTAGCCACATTGCTGTAATTTCAAGCTTAATTGTTATTTATAGGAGTCAAACTTGGAACTTTCACAAGCTGTATCATTGGGGTTCGTGGTTCCACTTTTTAGGAATCTTCCAGTGCTACCCTGCAACTCTGTCTGGCTCTGTAGAAATGACCAGATTATAGAGGGTGGCCCATCTCTGGTATAGTTAGCCTATCAAGCCTGCCCCTGCCATTGGGGACTTCCTAGTAGAGCAGAACCCTTAGTTTGTCAGGCAGGCCCAGAGCTTCTGCAGGCCACTTTCCTCACAGCTAGAGCATCTTGACTGGGACCTGCTCTGTTGTGCCTGTTCCCACAAGACCTTGTCTTTCCCAAAGAGGCCTTTGCTAGGGATTACTCACTTACACCAAGGACCAATCCTGCTGTATAAGTAGAGACAACAGGAACAGAGTCTCAGCCTTCAGTTTTCCCTTAAGCAATATAAAGGTGACTGCTCTTTGTTCAGCATTTATTTAAGGCCAGGGTCATTGCCAGGGAAAGGGAAAAATAGGTATTTGAAGCAAGGATGAAGACATGAGAACATCACTTTCCCAAATGATATAATTACAAAGAAAATACTGGAGGATCTGCAGGAAAGTTACTAGAACTACTAATGTGTTTAGCAAGGTCTTCAGCTAGAATATCCATCCGTTGTGTTTATGTATAGTGTCTGTAACAGTTAAATACTGAAGATGTAAAGAAAGTACCACCTAAAATAGGCCCCCAAAATAGGAAGTGTCTAACTGTATACTGTATACTGCATACTGTATGTACTGCCAGCATAAAACCCTGAGGTAAGAACAAAATCGAAGACTTTAATAAAAAGGAAAATACCAGCCAGGTGGTGGTGGGCATGTCTTCGATCCCAGCACTCGGGAGGGTGAAAGCTGGGTATCACTAGTAGGTTAATTCTTCCCAAATTAACTGTAGATACTGGTATATAAATCCAATCAGAAACCCACCTGTTGTGATCCTAAGCAGAGGTGTTTTTTTGTTTTTCCCCAAGACAGGGTTTCTCTGTGTAACTGTCTTAGCTGTATTGGAACTTGCTTTTTAGACCAGGCTGTCCTCAAACTCACAGAGATCCTCCTGCCTCTGCCTCCCAAGTGCTGGAATTAAAGCCGTGCTCTACCACCACCCAGCCTTACAGAATTCCTTTTTGTTGTTGTGTTTGTTTTTTGGTTTTTTTTTTTTTTTTTTTTTGGTTTTTTTTTTTTTTTTGGTTTTTCAAGGCAGGGGCTCTCTGTATTGCTTTGGAGGGTGTCCTGGGACTCACTCTGTAGACCAGGCTGGCCTCGAACTCACAGAGATCCACCTGCCTCTGCCTCCCGAGTGCTGAGATTAAAGGTGTGCACCACCAACTCCGGGCCAGAATTCTTATATTCAGAATATGTAAAGAACTCTGGAGGCTGGGAACATAGCAGTTCATACTGTGTTTGCCTAGCATGCATGAGTCCTTGGGTTTGAGCTCCACCCAGCACTACAAAGTAGAGAATGACGGTGCAGGCCTGTCGGCAGGAAGTTCAGAAGGTTAGGGCTATCCTTGGCTACAGAAAAAATTTGAGGCCAGTTTGGGATATATGAGATTTTGTCTTTAAAAAAACAACCAAGCCCCCTAAAAGGTCAGTAATAAGAAAACGCAGCTGTAATAAAAATCATTTATACTTCACCAAAGAAGATAGATAGATAGATAGATAGATAGATAGATAGATAGATAGATAGATAGATAGATAGATAGATAGATCCATACTGTGAAAGTCCTAGAAAAAAATGTTCAGGATCAGTCATATTGGAAAGTAACACACATGGACCGGAGGAGAGTTAAACTTGATAGTGCACGTACTGGCATGGAGTGGATCTCGTGTGCCCCCAGGACCTTTACCTGCCATCTGGTTTCTTGGTCTCCAGTGCAGTGGGAAGACAGTTTAGCATCCTCTTTCCCCAAAATTTATCCAGAAAAAGGGAGCTGGTGCTGCTCTAGCCCCTCCTGCACCTGCATGAGTGTGCACAGGGTAGCTGGGGCTTCTTAAAGAAAGTCTGCTTCAGAGGCGTGCAGTGAAGGCTGCTTTGCATGGTGTACAGTGAGACTGATTTTTCTGCTGTGGCTTGAAGACTCATAGCTGCAGTGAAAACTATTTTTGAGTAACAGTGTTCACAGTAGCTCTCCTTTGTGAACCTCAGCCCAGACAGTTGTTGGAAGGTTCAGTGTAGTGGCTTTCTCTTCCATGTGGTCCTCCAGTGAGCTCAGGCTTAGTATTATTGTATTGTCATTCTGTCACTGTAGACACGCACAACCTTGGGAAGGCGCCTGGCCCCTAAATTATATCACAGCCCAGGTCTCCAGTGCCCACCAGTCCTAGAGCGGAAGTCTCTGCTCCCTTGCTCAGTGGCTGTTGTAACAGCATTTCACACAGTGGCCATTGAGGAAGAACCAGGGTGAGGCCAGGCAGCCACTGTGTCCCAGAGCAAAGAGGTGGTGCTCACTTGTGCAGCGCCTTTGGAAACTTCTGAGCTGTGTTCCCTTTCTTGCTTTTTCAGTGTTGTTACAGTATACTCTCAATTTTGAGCAGTTTTCTTTTATCCTCTGTTCTAAAAACTTGTCAGGGATGGTGTCAACAGCTATTGAGGTGGAGGGGAGAAGCCTCAACCAGCCCAAGGCCTAAGCCATGCCTGCATTTGTGCTACCCACCCCTAGCCCTGCAAGTTCCTTTTCTCAGAGCAGCTGCTTTCCTTCCTCCTCACCCCTCCTCATAGATGGTAGCAGCCTGTTTGACTCCATGGCTAGTGGGATGCGCCTGGTCGTCAGCTGCATCTCCTCCTTCCTCATCCTCTCGCTGCTGCTTTTCATGGTCCACCGGCTGCGCCAGAGGCGCCGGGAGCGCATCGAGTCCCTGATTGGAGCAAACTGTGAGTGCCCACCCAGGGCCACAATAGTGACCCTCAGCCTTCCTAGGTCTTCCAAGTCTTCCCTGTCCCGAGTTGTATCCCTCCAAGGTAGAATCTGGTGAGGTATGAGAGAAAGGTGTCCCTCTGCAGCTACATACCTGCTTGACTTGGGGTGAACACACCTTAGGGAGCCAGAGATGTGGGACACCTGAGGAGGAACTCATGGGCCAAAGTTCAAGGTAGGCCTGCTCCCTCTCTGCTCTGTATCAGGAGCAGCGTCTCTAAACATTCAGGCACTTTCTTGTGGTGAGCTTTGAGTATGGGCCCCTGCCAGGGAGGCTCAGATCCCTGTAGCCACAGCAGGCAGCTAAGATAATGTCTTAGCCAGAGTGCCCCATCTCCCTAACAACAGGAGGCCTAAGAGCAAATTGCCAACAGCTACAGGGGATTTTACCTGTTCTGTGAAGGGGCCTCAGTGTTTCCCAGGGCAGGGTTGAAACTGGCTAACTAAGACCCTGAGTTTTCAGCGGTGGCAGCTGTGTCCTCCTAATCTGTCTTTATGCTCACATAAGTTTCTATGGTGAACAGAATTGGAGCTGGAGGCTACAGCAATGCCAAGGGTTTGCTCCTGTTGTTAAATGACAGGGTAGGAATAGGTTGCATATAGGTGGATTAGTTGGAGAAATCCAGGGATGGGATGTTTTGGCCAAATCAGAGTCTCATGTGACTTGTTGGATGTGGTTGGCAAGTGTGTAGATGGCTACAGGAGTGTGACACGGGTGGCAGGGTCAGCCTTGGGAAGAAGGCTCAGGAGCCAGCAGCCTGCTTCCAAATCACACAGCTTCCCTCCTGTTTCTCTGTTTCGATGGTTCAGTGCACCATTTCAACCTTGGCCGAAGGATCCCTGGTTTTGACTATGGCCCAGATGGATTTGGCACAGGCCTCACCCCACTACATCTTTCTGATGACGGGGAAGGTGGGACTTTCCATTTCCACGACCCTCCGCCTCCTTATACGGCGTACAAGTACCCAGACATGGACCAGCCAGATGATCCACCACCACCCTATGAGGCTTCTATCAACCCGGACAGTATGTTCTACGACCCTGCAGGTGCCTGGCCACCCTAGGGAGAGGGAATATGGAGTTGCCAAGCAATCAGGAATGCAGGACCAGGACCATAGGGTTTCCTGGGATCTGAGGACCCTCCTTCCCTTCTGGCCGCCTTCTTAGTCTTTACTTTGGGGCCATTCTCAAGATTGCTCCTGCAGAAGGCACTTTGTCCTGGCCATCTTCAGGGTGTTGAGTTCTGGGGATCCATGGGCAGCATCCTTCTCTTCCTCCTGTGAGCACCTGTTAGTGGCGGGATAGCCTTCGGCCTCTCAGCCCATCTCTGTGAAGCAATGGGGCTGAGCAGTGGGTATCATGAGAACAGATCTGGTCCTGGCCCAGCTCTGGAGCTTGTTCTGAACCATAAAGATACTACTGTAACAGTTCCAAGTATTGTGTTGAAAAGTTGCTTGTTTCCCACCTGACCCTGAGTAGTTCTTCTAGACTGCATAGCTCAGGAGGAGTGTCCAGGGTGCTGCTTCCCTCCCTGCCCCTTACCTGACCCATTAGGAGTCCTGTCCTGTTCCCTGTGTGAAAATGTCTGGCTCATCAGACTGCACTCTGCAGCAGAGTGGGACTTTTAACACTGCTGTCGTCTAGGGCTATGAGAATTGGATTCCTGCCTTCAGAGCCGATTGTCAGACTGTTATCAGAGAGGCTGCAGTCAGAGAGCTAGGGTCATAGCTCAGTTGGTAGAACATTTGCCTAGAATGCTAGAGGCCTTTAGTTGGTTCTTTAGCACTGCAAAAGGGCTGAGACTAGACAAGCTTTCCACCAAGACTGCATTAAATGCAGATCTCCACTCTCCAGCCTCCAGGCTGCAGGGCAGGGAGTAGGGATGGAGACAGCTCATAGTCAAAGCCTGTGGTCACCAGCATTCAGAAACAGCCCAAAGTGCTAAGCAGGGTGTAGATTTAGGGAATGACTTTGTGCTAACACCAATGGTTCTCCAGGCTGCCTGCTCCTACCCAACCCCTTTGCTGTAGTTGCCATAGTTCTGCTGTAGCCCAGGGTGTCCAGTCCAGAAGCTCCTTATTGTGTGTCCCTGGGGAGTCAGAGTGGCTTCCCTCTGGTCTCCCTTTGTTCTGAGCAGTTGGTTACTACATCTCACCTACCGCAAGCAGTAGTGGCAAGATGAACTTGTGTGTGCCAGAGCATTAGACTAGGAGCTCCCATAGGTCCTGTTTACCACTCAGCAATTAGGAAGGGAATCCTCAATCTGACCAGACTTGCTTCTGACATCCCCCTGGTCTCCTGCAGATGATGATGCCTTTGAACCTGAGGAGGCCAGCCTGCCAACCACAAGGGATGGTGGTATGGAGGGTGCATTGCCCAGGCACTTGGAACATCCATTGCCCCCTGCAGAGACCTCCTTGGCAGATCTGGAAGACTCCACAGACAGCAGCAGTGCCCTGCTGGTGCCTCCTGACCCTGCCCAGAATGGGAATACCCCAGCTACAGAGGCACCACCAGGTGGAGGGCGCCACCCCTGCAGCTCCCTCAGTACTGTGGTTTAGGTGGCTCAGCTCATGGCCCCAGTGGGCTGGAGTATCTACTTCCTGTTCAGAAGACACCTATCTCAGTGGGAGGCTTGAAGGGTCCTGTCATAGCCTGGACCTACTCCACTGCCACATCCCACCAGCAGGGGGTGTGTACATAGAAACTGAAGCTAGGCACCCCAAGAGAGGAACAAGTGCCTGTGTCATCTTTATCTGAGGGCTTCTCAGACATGAAAAGCTTTGGGTCAGTCTCATTTTTAAATGACAGAATGACACGGGTTTTCAAACCACACATTTCCAAGAGGACAGAGACAGTGGGCTGCACTCACACCAAACATCTTTGGATGGGCTTGCTTACTGCACTGTCTCACCCACAGAAGCCAGTCATTAATCAGTGGCTGCACCAATATAGACAGAGCAGGGCTGCCACTATGTGCAACACTAGTGACTCCCTAGGGGCATCAGAGCATCTGTGAACCGCTTCCAGGGGACACATTTGCAGCTGCTGCACTGGCTCTCTGGGGGCATCCTGTTGAGGCCCAAATGCAAATATTGAGGTGCCAGTCCCTGGGAGAAAATTGACTTGCCACCCCATTTCTAGCTTTGCTTTGAGGCCAGCACTCTCCATGGCGTAGCTCTGCATGGCTCCCCAGGAGTAGACTCTAGACCCCTGTGCAGGGTTGGGCATGCTGGCTTTTCTCTGGATCCCTGTGCTCTGCTTGCTGGCGAATGACCGTTGGGTTTAGCCAGCCCCCCTCCCCCACCTTGTCTGTGCCATAAAGGGTTGTTTGTTTGGGAAGAGAATTGACTCAAGTAGACATCCTGTGTTGTGTTATCTGAGTCCACCTCACCCCATGACCACTGCTGGAGCCCAGCATCTGCTGGCCACATACATGCCTCCCAGCCCCTCCACAGCACTGGGTACCTGGGCTTTTTGCCAAGAGGCCCCTGTTGCTAACTCCATGTGGTGGTCTTGTCTCCCAGCACAGGCCTTTAGTGTTTCTAAGGGTTGGAGACTAAGCAAGTTCTGTGCAATTTTTAGCACATCTGTATCTTTTCTATGTTGGATGTCTGGATCTTTCTGTATCTATGTGTTTCCTCACATGGCCAAATGTTTGCAGGTGATGATGGTTCATGGGAGTTGAAGACAGGCCCCACTGCCCCACATGAGCCATTTGCCCTTGGGCTGCTCTTAGACCACTTGGTCTGAGCTGCTTCCTAGTCTGTGGTCAGTGGGACTGTGACTCCTGTCCAGCTAAGAACATGAGTGGGAGAAGCGACTTAAGACCCTCCAGCTCTTTGGTGCTTGATCAGACCTGCACAGTTCTAGGCACATTCTTACACTGCTTGGAAACCTGTCTCCCCTTCTCATAATGGAGCATCTTCAGACTGGATCCCCAGGGCTAACTGGAGGTATGAGATTTGTCCCTGGATAGTCTGTCTCAAGGCTGAACCCACAGGCTAGCTGCTGCGGACATCCTCTGCCAAAGAGCTCTTGCCTCCTCCGCCCATGACTGAGAAGAACGGGAAGTTCAGCGTACCTCCAGCAAGTATTGAGTGCTGGGCACTGGGCAGCCACGCTCCAGAGCAGCAGTGGGCAACTGTCTTGGTGCCAGGCCACCCAGAAGAATCATAAGGACCACACAGCAGTGCCTCTGAAGGCCATATGTACAGACTGAAATTCTCTGGGGACCAAATGACTGTTGGGGTTGGGGCTTGAGTCTAGGAGGCAGAGGTGAAGAGGGTGACCTAAAGTGGGCCATGGTGCTGCTGAGGTGAAGTGGGCCTGACAGGACTGCCAGGGTCTGCCCAGCAAGCATTCAGGGTGCACGTGGCCTGTGTTTTGAGCTGTTTAGACTATTGTTACTGCAGTTCCAAGCACTGGGGTCTGCCACCCTCCCCAGATCTTACTGGTGAATAATTCCAGGTCCAGGATTTGCTAAGGTTTGTCTCCTTGCCCATCCCACAAGGCCCCAAGGGACAGGCCAAACTCCTGGGAGGCCCCTTTCCCAGGACTGCCTTGCCACTCTTCTGAGAGGCTGGGTGCCCTCTGACCTGCCTTGAAGTGGAATTTGATACTGTACATTCATTGTCTCAATGCCTGTTTTTACATACTCCTTTCACTAAAGGTTTTAGTTTGGGTGTATTTTTGATCGGGTTGGCATTAATCCTTTCTTAAGATGCTGTGAGAACCATTTCATCCAATGCCAAATAAACTTGTGTTATAGAAAAGGCATGGTCAGTCCTTGCTGCAGCCTGGCCCTATAGCCAGAGCTCTAAGGTTTCAGCCCTTACAGGCATCTAGCTGGCTTCTGACAACCCTTGGTTGAGGACCAGACAGCTAGGTTTGGAGCCTCTGTGCAGGATTCATGACAGGGCCACCCTGTGCTCTCTCTGAGATGTTGCTAGAGTCACAGGCAGACTGGTGTACCCTCTGGTTACTGGTAACTAGTATGGGCTAGGCCGAAAAGGGAAGGTCCTGGGACTTAGTCCCTAGCTGTTCAGGTTGAGTAAGCTGCCCCTTCCATCACAGCAGCTCTAGGTTCTCAGAGGGTGGCTACCTACACCCAGGCTGGGCTGGACCATGCCTCTCTGCAGAGGCTGGAAAAGCTTGGATCCTCTGGGGAAATTCTCATCTATTAAGGTTGTTGGGTGATTTTGTCTTTCCACAAGTCCCAATGTGGTAAAGACTAGAGGGACCTGTTGACTTGGGCTGCGCTCCCTCCTGAAAAGGAGCAAGGGGACTACACCCACCCAGTGGCACTTGGGTAAGGGCTCCACATGCTGTGTTCACTACTGTTGTTTCTGTGGGACACCAGAGGTTTTTTTTTGGGGGGGGTTGTTTTGTTTGTTTGTTGTTTTTTTTTTTAATATGTGTGTTTTTTTGTTTTGTTTTTTTGTTTTTTTGGGGGGGGGCAGTTCCAGGTAGCTTTAGAGGCTGACCTGGAACTCTGCAGATCAGGCTGGCCTCGAACTCAGAGATCCACCTGCCTTGGCCTCCCAAGTGCTGGGATTAAAGACGTGCCACCAACCCTGGCTACACCAGAGTTCTTGGTAGTAATTTCTAGGAGGAATCCTTAAGCTCACCTTCCTTTAAAAAATTTTGTTTTTGTTTTTTTGTGTTTTTTTGTTTTGTTTTGTTTTTTGAGACTCTATATAACCTTGGCTGTCTTAGAACTCACTGTTTTAGATCATGCAGGCCTCAAACTCACAGAGATCCTCCTGCCTCTCATGAGTGCTGGGATTAAAGGTGTGGGCCACCATGCCTGGTTTAGATCCATAGTCTTCATTCATTATCGTTTTATTTCTAGAAATGCTTTCAGGCCAGGTGTGGTGCACATTGAGGGCAGCCCAGGCTACACAGTGATGTGTGTGTGCCACATGCATGCAGGAACCCTCGTTGGTCAGAGCCCAGGAACAAGAACTGCAGCTGTGATTGAGCCTGCAGGCCTCAGTGACAGGGCAGTGACGGAACAGGCTGTTGCAAAGGCTGACAAGAGGTCAGGGTTAGGAAGGAACAACCGAGTCCTTGATAGGGATTGGGAGCTTCAGTCCCTCAGCACATCTGAAGCAGGGGTGTCAGCATCATTATCCACTCTGCCTTTTCCTCCTTCCTCCAGGGATGAATCTGGTCCTCCAGCAGTTGTATTTGTTTCTACAATGCTGAGGATAAATCCAGGAACACATGCTAAGCAAGTACTCCTCCACTGAGCTCCCTTGGGCTATGGCAAAGAGATGCTGAATACTGGTATACCCAGAGGGACAGGCCTCCAGCCTACTCCCTAGTAGTCATGGTTAGGCCAAACCTACTCACACCACAGACACATGGTGCCCAAATGCAGAACTGTCAAGTGATCATTTGACACATTGGGAAACCAGAGAGTCAGAGACCCTTCACTCCGGAGTGCCTGGGATGTGGGCAAGGGGGCTTGAGCCACTGCAATGTCTCCACCACGGAAGGGCTGCACCTTTTAGTAGGGTAGTCCTCAGACAGGTGCATCAGTAGGAAGGCAGCTGTGAACCTGGACTTGGGACAGGGATTGGAATCTCAAGTTTGTAGCAAGGCAGGAAGCATCAGTGCCTCCTATCCCTAGCCTCTTAAGTCTTGGGCACTAGGCTCCAAAGTGACTCACCCCTTGAACTGATTTCTTAGGTGATGGCTTTGACATGTCACCCAGGTCCCTGTCCCCCATTTCCTCAGCTGTGAGAATAATATCAGACACCCTTAAGAATTAATGCTAACCATTACACTGGCTGCAGCAGCCCTGGACCAGCTCCAGCCCACCTCTGTTCCTAGTGGCCCTATCTGGGCTCCACCCACTCTGGCCCTCTAGGGCCCCGCCTCAGTGTGTCCACAGGATACTTATCCACACCTCTAGTTCACCGGCCAATGAATGATCAGCCCTCCAAGTATCCTGGTCACACTTTCCTTGTCCAGTCTGCAGTTCTCCAGAGTCACAGCCACAGCTGCATCATGTGGGCCCTGGGCTTCCTGCTCCGATTCCTCGCCATGCAACCTGTGGCAAAGGTGGACTCCAAGGGTGAGCAGCAAGGCTTTGCCTGTGTGATCTTAGATCTACCTAACACCATTTATCCTCTAATGGTAGGGCAAGTTTGGGAGGAGATGTATGGACAGGGGAACAATCTCTCCTGGCTAGCCTGGCCCCATTCCTGAACTGAGGCCAGGAACTTTGAAGGGCCACGTGGTAGTTCTCAGCTTGATCCCTGCCTCCTGTCTGCAGGTGCCTGGTGCTACGACTCCCAAGATCCAACGTGCGGTGAGGACAGTTGTAACAGGCTATGTGGATCTGTCTAGTCTCTGCCAGCTCCTGTGACCCAAAGGACTGGGCAGCAGGCATTCTGTGCTCATGTGTATCTGTTATAATCCATGGTTAGGGCCTGTGAGCCTATGGGTGTGGCCAGGGGTGGTCCCCAGCATGAGTATGTAGCCAGGTCCTAGATGCATCTACCCTGTATGGGGCAGTCTGCTTACAGACTTGGTAGCTAAGTCAGATGGGTCTAAAAATGGAGGGAAAGATGGTCCTTGGCGGGGAATGCTTGAGTCATGGGATCCACCCTCAGACAGCCTCCTTGACTCAGCTGCAGACTCCAGTCCTTGTCTCCTCAGGCCCTACACACTGGAAGGAGCTAGCACCTGCTTGTGGGGGCCCAGCCCAGTCCCCTGTCAACATTGACCTTCGATTGGTCCAACGAGACTACACTCTTGAGCCCTTCATCTTTCAAGGCTATGATTCAGCACCTCTGGACCCTTGGACCCTGGAAAATGATGGCCATACAGGTCAGCATCATAAGATCAAGACCAATATACAGGCAATAAGTCCACACGGCTTGTAGGAATCTTCCCCCATACACAGGAATCAGAACACACAGAGGGGCTGAAAAGGAACTCTTCTCCAAAGAGCTCACCCCCCACCCCACACACAAGTGGACTAAGAAGCTATGAGAATGTAACACACTTAGGAATCCAAAGGAGGCCCTACACATATTGTAGGGAGATGGCAGGAACTCCCCTATAAATAAAAGTAGACATGGCCAGAGGACAGTCAGCTCACACCTAGATTCCAAGATGCTGGAAAGAAATCAAGGTCCTCATAACCACACTGCTGGGGCCAGTTTGACTCCCACAGTGGGGGGTCTGCTGGGGAGGGGTAGACTCTCATATGTTCCCCCACCTTCAGTGCTACTTCGAGTAAATTCCTGTCGGCAGAGCTGCCCAGTGATCCGAGGGGCTGGGCTGCCATCACCAGGGTACCGGCTGCTGCAGCTGCATTTCCACTGGGGCAGCCCAGGGCACAAAGGCTCAGAGCACAGCCTGGATGAGAAGCGTGGCTCTATGGAGGTGGGTTCAGGGTGGACCAGAAGGAAGATGGGCATAGGGAGCAGAGGGCAGCGGGACGCCACCTATGGTCTGTATTCCCTAGATGCACATGCTCCACGTGAACACAAAGTACCAGAGCATGAGGGAGGCACAAAGCCATCCGGATGGTTTCGCTGTGCTAGCCGTGCTGTTGGTGGTGAGGAAGGGGCTGTGTGGCTCCATGCCTGTGTGGAGGGAACAGATGTTTGGAGTCTGTGGAGATCAAGGGGCTTAGGGAGTTTTCGGGAGGCGGGGCCAATGGAATGGAGTGTTAGTGGGCATCGTGGGAGGTGACCTTCCTCACTCCATCCCCAGATCTCCCAGACACTCCAACTGGGCCCTTCCCACTGGTGTCCCAGCTATCCTGTCTCACTTTTGGACACACGCACACAGAACCTCAAAGCTCCTCTCACTGGAATTCTCTCCAGGAGGAGGACAGGGACAATACCAATTTCTCTGCCATTGTGTCTGGCCTAAAAAATTTAACTTTGCCTGGTAAGAATCTGCGGGGTCCCGTCTGGGCTGGAAGGTATGTGGGCGAGGAGCAAGAGCAGGGGAGTCGAGTTCCAGCTTCTCTCCCACCGTCCAGGGGTCTCTGTGAACCTGACGTCCACCTTCCCACTGGCCTCGCTGCTGCCAAGTTCTGTGGGGCTCTTGAGATACTACCGATACTCTGGGTCTCTGACCACACCGGGCTGTGAGCCAGCTGTTCTCTGGACAGTCTTTGAAAACACCATACCCATTGGGCGCGCGCAGGTGGGAGCTACTACCCCTACCCAATGCCAAGCTCCTTCCCACAGCCTCAGTTGACACTCCTGCTTTCTCCACCTGCCCCGTTGCATCTTGACCTGTCTTTGCCCATCCTCAGGTAGCCCAGTTCCAGACCATTCCCCAGACTGGGTCACCGAGTTTGCACCCCAGACCGATCATAGATAATTTCCGTCCCCAGCAACCTCTTGGAGGGCGCAGGATATCAGCCTCTCCTGGAGCATCCATCCGGTCATCAGTCTCTACCCTACCCTGTTTGCACGTGGCTCTTTGGGGCTTGGGAGTCGGCCTGAGACTCTGGCAGGGCCCCTAGGATTCAGGGGTGACTCCTGCTTTCACAATAAAAGATGCAGAGTGACCTTGGCCTAGTGTGGCTGGGAAGAGGTGTGTGGTCAAGGGGACGATGGGGAGAGAATTCTGCTCCAACCTCGCGGCATCCTTCCTGTCCACACCACCAACAGGCTCCTGAGTGACTGCCCTCTTGCCCACCTCAATCATACAAACTTCTTCCAAAACCGAGACCCATTCAGATACCCAACTCTAGCACCCACCCGTAACAACATGTTGTTATGAATCTCCAGGTCAAAGGAAAGGGGTTTGAAAATCAGTACATCTCAGAAATGCCACCTATACCAGAAATTACAGTTTATTTTAAGAACAAGCTGGGTGAGCATCAAAGGGGGTTACCGTGCCACATGAAAATGATGACCCTGGTTGCAACCCCAAGCCAGTCCTTAAGAAAAAGCAGGTTCCAGCAGAAGGCACTGAGTTGACTGGTTTTGGTGACAGACAGCAAGCGCTGGTGACACTCTAGGGAATCATTACGCTGTGGAATATTTTCTATAGAGAAGCTGGTGTTGAGCAACTGTTGGGAGGGTTAAGTGAAGGGCTGTGTCCTTCTCACTGTTCGAGGCCGAGTCCAAGGGATACTGACAACATGACACTATGGTAGGAAAGTGGGCCCCGGGAGGGTGGGTCCCATTATCAATGGAGTGGTGGTGGAGCAAACTGATGCTCAGCTCATGCCATGTAGAGGTTACAATGAAGGGGCACTGTCTCCGCTACCTATGTCCCTAAAGTCTGTTACACAGTACATAATTGACACTATTCTGGTGCATGGAGGTCCTGCCTACCCCCTAGGGCTTTAAAGAAAAAGAAAGTGCAACCATTTGCCTCCAGGCTGCAGATCCCTTGGTTTGGGCAGCCCCTCCCTGGCAGGCAGTCGCAATTTGGTCCAGCTTCAAAGCCAAAAGGGGCTCTACAGCGGCAGCCACAGTCCCGGGTGGCGATTACCCATAGCGCAAAGCCATCTACGCAGCCCCTGCCGCCCACACTTTAAATAATGGAGCATCATTGGCATCTGGGGAGTCTGTTAACAGGATTGCACATCAGCCACCTTGCCCTCTTCTGGGGACACC